TTTGTTGACAGAAATGACAGCAAGCAATAGACAAAAGCACAGATAAAAAGTATACTGAGAGTGAGCTCGATCCTCTCAAATCTCTCAATAATTTATAAAAATCGCCTTCACTGAGCAAGTAATTAATTGTCGCCTTATATTCGTCTGTAATTACATGAGGGATTAAGATAAACGACTATTTTGCACTCTTTTTGTCAAGGAGATTTTCATGAGAAAAGTGAGCNAAGTTTTTGGATGAAATCAGATCGATCATAATTGGGACAAGAAAAGAAAATATGATTGATGGTGCCTGAATCATAACCGCACTCGCACAGATCATCATTAATGATGTGCAACCTGGCAAGGTGAGAGGGTGCACATGTGTGACCCAATCTCAGACGTATGATAATAGAGGTTACACATTTGTCAAATTTTAATTTAAAAAACCAAGGTTTTACAGGAATTTGTGGTTGAAGGAGTGAAAAAAGATAACCTTTCGATTTACTACTATCTTCCCAATCCGCTTGCCAAGAAGATATAAGAGATAGNAAAAAAAAAAAAAAAAAAATTATGTATATAGTATTCAATTTATTGTAAATTACTGTATATTAATATGGTCATTTTATCCTACCTCAATCCGCTCTCCTGATCACTTTCTTCTCTCCGCCCGATCCTTCCGTTCCGTATTTTTCTTTCCTTAACCGTTTCCCCGTTTTTACTCGACGAATGGCAACACACAAGCCGTGTAAAGCCAAAAAAAAAAAAAAAAAAAAAAAAAAGTACACTCATGAAATTCTTTTCTAATATCATATATAACAGGGAATTGGGTTCTGGATTTGAATGGAAAATGCTTTAAAGCATGAAGTGCACTCATGGAATCAGTGAAAATTACAGTATTATCAAGTTTATACAGTTTGACATATTCTATTGCTCTCAAAAGGCCATAGCATTCCCCCGTAAAGACGGAGGTTTCAGGAGGAAATTTGACTTTTTGGACAATTTTATACTGTGTGTGGAAAATTCCCACTCCAGTAGTTTCAGTGCAGGAATGTTTGGAAGCATCTGTATAAATATGATGAAAACCAGTAAACTGTGTGTCTAAAATTTCATGAAATTTAGTAACAATATTTATGTCTTGCTTATCAATAGGAAGAAAAGAGATGTTGATAGGGGTTAAAAGAGACTCAATGTTGCAATGAAACAGTGGTAAGTATTTTGATCGGTGAATAGGGGAGGAGAGAGACTTTAATTTACTGTAACTCTGTAAAAGATAAGGAACAGATTTATGTTTCCAATAGTTTGAAACGACAACTTTTTCAGACAAACATTGCAGTTTTGGTAAAAGCTGATGATTAGAAAAATAGAATATACGAAATAGAAATTTGTCACATAGGAACTGCCTTCTAAATTTGAGAGGGGGATCACAACATTCAACTTGAAGTGCATTTACTGGACTACTTTTCATTGCTCCTGTTACAATTCTAAGGGCTTTTGATTGAATAAGATCTAGTTTTCTAAAAGCTGATTTGTTACCTGGCTCTAGAAGGAATGTACCGTAATCTAAAACACTTCTAATGAGAGTAGAGGTGGGCGCCACGCCGGCGCGCCGCCGCCGCCGCGAATTTTTTCACGCCGCCGCCGCGGACGACCAGCTGTCGGCGCGCCGATACTGATACTGTACAAACTATTTGCAATTTATTCCTCTCCTATACTGTACTAATTTGTGTTTTAAACGCAGAAGAACTATATTTTTATTGAGTTGAGTGGCTATTCTAGTTCAATAAAGTTCTAGTATCACTGCGACCGGTACCGATCTATTGTGATCGTCGCTATTTTGCTTACAGTTCGCCTCCGAGTCCTGCATCCATTAGGAATTGCAGTATCTTTTGGGGGGCAATATGTTTTACATCTTGTGGGCTTAGGATGTGTTTGCCCAGGTGTAAGCTCCGCTTGCGCATCAAAGGTCAGCAGTCCGTGAGAATGTGTAGTGGCGGTTCATCTGCCTCTTGGCACATCCTGCACGTTCTTGATTCGGACAGTCCGATAGTAGACAAGTGCTCGTTTAAGCTGCAGTGTCCAGTGAAGGCTTGAACTAAGATGCGCATTTTGATCCTACTGAGTCCTATGATCTGCTTAGAGCTTTTATAAGAGCTTTGGAATGAGTTAATCCTGGCGTGTCTGACCATGCCTTAATGGATTTGTTTAAATAGATGTTCTCCAGGGTCATTCGAGCGAGACTTTTGGGAATGCCACAAAAGGGTTCTGGACCATATTGTGTTCCCTCCGCTCCCACTCTGGCCAGTTCGTCGGCATTTCCACGATTCCCGCGTGACCTGGAACCCATCTCAGCGTTACTCTGTTACGTTTTCCTAGGGTATTCAGTCGACTCATGCAGTTTTCTACCAACTTTGAGATGATTAAGTTGGAATTTAAGGACTTGAGCGCGGCTTGACTGTCTGATTTAATGTAAATTATGTGGTTGGCATATTTTTTTCGCAGGTTAGCTTCAGCACATTCAATAATGGCGTAGACTTCTGCCTGAAAGATAGAGGCAAATTTACCCAGGCTTTGAGATAGCCTAAGCTTTGGCTGCTCTCCATACACGCCAAAGCCTACGTTAGGGCCCATTTTTGACCCATCAGTAAACCATATAACAGAAGAACTAACTATAAAATTAGAATTATAGCCATTAACTTTCAACTTTTGGTTAGGTTTAAGCCAAGTTTCTGCCAGAGCAAAAACGAAAGGCTCAAACTTATTAATCATGTGAAAAAAGTCACTCTTTTTGCTGATGATACTCCGGCAGTTCCACTGCATTGCCTTCGCAGCCATTTTGAAGGAATCGAATTAAACTTTCTAGTAAAGGGGCGACGTTGGACGGTGATTTGATATTACATTGAGAAAAAACATTAATCAAAGTTATAATAAGACTAGATAAATTTGTTGCTGAATCTTCTTTAGGTTGGTTATTAATAGCACATCCATCCCTTGGGGATGGGAAAGAATAGTCACGTATTAAATTATTATGAGCCACTTTATCATAACCCTTAGAATGTGAAGGAGAAGGACGGGGTGTCATGAAGACTGTCTTTTTGTAAGATGATGCTTTTGGAGGACCAGAATTAGGGTTATAATAAGGAATATTTTTACTAAAAGAGCTTTGTTTTTCAGGGTTAGAGGACAATACGTCTGCATAGGACTTTGAGGCTGGAGGGTGAATCTTGGAAGCCTCTGCATATGAGATGGAATTTTCAGCCATATAAGACTTAATTTTTTTCTGACGGATGAATTCTGGGCATGACTTGCTAGTTGCAAAGTGGAAACCGGAGCAAAGACAACAGGAAGCTTGGTCTTCATAAACAGAGCACGAATCTCCCATGTGGGCCTGCCCACACTTAAAACAGCGAGGCTGGGACCTACATTGGGCCTTTGTATGACCAAATCGGCAACAATTAAAACATTGTACTGTAGGAAAGATATACAATTCAACTGGTAAAGCATTGTAGCAAATAAATACTCTTTTTGGTAAGGTTTGTCCGTCAAATGTTACAACAACTGATTGAGAGGGTTTCCAAGAAACTGAACCATTATTAAAAGATTTAAAATTCGCACCGGCGGACTCGACAGGCAAATTGGCACATTTCCCTACCACCATCAATGCTACTAAGCCTGGGCAAAGCCTTGACCTGGGCTATCTCGTTCAACACAATATGCTCGGGGCGGCCGAATCTAGCCTCCAAGGCGCTCATGACCACGTCTGGGTCTCGCGCAGAGGCTAGAAGCGCGCCTACTTCGTCTCTAGCAACGCCTCGCAAAGCAAAATTTAGCCGAGCTTGGTTTTCTAGCGGAGAAAACCCAGCTTTGGTTAGATCAAACGTACGTTTAAATAGTAGCCAGTCCTGGATTCGCCCATCAAACAAAGGAAGCTTTAGGTCACTCACCCGCGGCGACTGCTGCTTCGACGCGGCCAGGCTCGTGATGGCTTCAGCTAATTGTTGTATATCAGTAGGTGTATCCTGGCTAATAGCAACTTTATTAAAATTGTTACATAAATCGCGTTGTGTATGTGTACCTAAACCTAAGTAATGTGCATGTCTAGTAGGTAATGCTTGAGGCTGACGTAGCGGCTTAGCTGGGGCAGGTCCGGCAGGCGCGGGCGGCTCCGGCCGCACGGTAGCCGGCGCGGCAACGCTTGTCGTTGCCTCAATAAGCGACGGCTGCCCTTGGTGCGGCGTTGGGAAAGCCACTGACGATGAAGGCGCATCCGTGGTAGCAGCGCCGGGAAATAGTACCGCCAAGGGTACCGACACTGACGGTTTACGCACATATTCTTTGTCATCGTCATTGACGAGCATAGGCACCTGCAAATTAGGATCATTGTTACATGAAGCCACCCAATCAGCTGTTCTACTGTACCGGCTACTAGAACCACTATGCGCATCGATCGCAGCTAGTTCGGCTTGCAGTTCCAAATCAGCTGCAACTCGCTCCTTCTCCAACACAGCGCGCTCGAGCTCGGCGACGCGGCGTGCGTGCTCGGCCTGCGCCGCGAGCTTCTGCGCCACCACGGTGGCGCTGGAACGGCTAGAACGGCCTGAGCGGCCCGAAGGGCACGAGGCGGATGATGGTTGTGTCGTGTGGGGCAATTGCGGCAAAGCCGATGACGAACATGAACTCATTGGTTCCATAGTAGTAGCGGTAGGTTGCTCACTTTGCTCAGCCATTTTCCTCTTGCTTCTAGTAAGCATAATTGGGAAAATTGAAGGCAACACTATAAAGTAAATAAGCTAGTACTTACCGCGAAGGACCATTTGTTGGGCACCGGGTGTGCCCGTTACTATACCTATTGTATATTGAATTGATTTGGAGATGTTCACTTTTTACTATATTGAAACACGTCTTTGACTAATGGTGTTTAATGAACAACTGAAGTAAAAAAGTAAAAAAACAAAGCGTCAAAATATAAAAAACATTCCAAAAGAAAAAATACAAAAAACGCATATAAAAAAGGTCTGTCGCCAACACTTATAACTATAAAATGTATAGTATACATTATTTTTATAGGACATGGCGTTGATGCGCGACTACATCGTGTTCGCGAAGGAGCACGTCCAACCGACCCTTAGCGAGGCGGCGCAACAAAGGCTTATTGACGCCTACGTCGATATGCGGTTAGTAATCACAAGGCACTAGAATGTTCAGGATAAGTCGTTATAGTTTTATGCGAGCTGGATTTTCGGATTAGCTGTATTACTATCATATTTTATACTAGATAAATAAATATGAGACGATGTTTTTTCTTCGCCAGAAATGGATCTAAAGATTTTGTTTCATTACCAGGCGTGTGGGCAGCGGGCGCGGGCAGATCTCAGCCTACCCTCGTCAACTGGAATCGCTCATCCGTTTAGCCGAGGCGCACGCGCGTATGCGTCTCTCCTCCGTCGTCGAGTTATCTGACGTCGACGAAGCCGCCAGGTATGTAACAAAGATACTAAACTGTTTTGATCGCCTACTAAAGAGGCACCATGTTTATCTCTCACAGACATAGCGATGAATCTCAATATCAAAATTCGTGATAAAATTCAGAAAATGACCAACAAACGAATAATGAATAACATTCTTTGGACTATCGTCATCAAATAAATACTATGAGCCAGTGCCTGAAGTATGGAAGTGGCACGGGAGTGTCTTTGTATCATCAAATGTCAGCGAGACTTCAAATGTTATTTGTGTGCTCCGTAACGTCAGAGGCCGTTCCCATACCTCAAGCACTGAGTCAACTTGACCTATAAATGAGCCAACGAAATAAGTCCCCTCCAAACGTGTAACTCAGATATTTCAATAACCGCCTGTGTGCTCTAGTGGTAAGACCACCTGCTTCAGACGCAAAGGTCCCGGGTTCGATTCCTAGTGGGGGCAGATTGTTCCGTTCGGTTTGGTTGGTGGTAGGGCTTGTTCTAAGTCCGCCTGGCTAGCTACCACCATCTTACCTAAGTCTGTCGCCATAACAGCAATGTTAACAGCATTGTTGTGCTCCGGCAGTTAGAGGTAAGATAGCCAGTTCCTCCGTGGTTGAGGATTCCGGGTGAAGCTCGCTTCCACCTTCGGCCTGATCATTACTTACCATCAGGTGAGATATAGGCCAAGAGCTTCCTCGTTATGTGTGTGTGTTGTAAAATTTTATGTTGTAATTTAAGTCTAAACTTGCATTTCCCCACTCCAGACTCCACCGCGAAGCCCTAAAGCAATCAGCGACCGACCCGGCGTCCGGTCGCATCGACGTGGGCATCCTAACCACAGGCCTGGGAGCCGCCGCGCGCAGACGCCGCGCCGACTTGGTAGCGGCGCTGAAGGAACTGATGCAGCCTTACTCCAAGCCGCACACCATCACGCATGCAAAGATACTGCAGGAGATCAACGCCAACTCGCAACTTGTAAGTAGTTTGTATCCAGACTCCACTGCGAAGCCCTAAAGCAGTCGGCGACCGACTCGGCGTCAGGTCGCATCCTCACCACAGGCCTGGGAGACGCCGCGCCGACTTAGTGGCGGCGCTGAAGGAACTGATGCAACCTTACTCCAAGCCGCACATTATCACCCACGCAAAGATACTACAAGAGATCAACGCCAACTCGCAGCTTGTAAGTAGTTTGTATCCAGACTCCACCGCGAAGCCCTAAAGCAGTCGGCGACCGGCGTCCGGTCGCATCGACGTGGGCATCCTAACCACAGGCCTGGGAGCGGCCGCGCGCAGACGCCGCGCCGACTTAGTCGCGGCGCTGAAGGAACTGATGCAACCTTACTCCAAGCCACACACCATCACGCATGCAAAGATACTGCAGGAGATCAACGCCAACTCGCAGCTTGTAAGTAGTTTGTATCCAGACTCCACCGCGAAGCCCTAAAGCAGTCGGCGACCGGCGTCCGGTCGCATCGACGTGGGCATCCTAACGACAGGCCTGGGCAACTACAGGCCGCGCTAATTTGGTAGCGGCGCTGAAGGAACTGATGCAACCTTACTCCAAGCCACACACCATCACGCATGCCAAGATACTGCAGGAGATCAACGCCAACTAGCAGCTTGTAAGTAATTTGTATCCAGAATTCATCGCGAAGCCCTAAAGCAGTCAGCGACCGACCCGGCGTCAGGTCGCATCGACGTGGGCATCCTAACCACAGGCCTGGGCAACTACAGGCCGCGCTGACTTGGTGGCGGCGCTGAAGGAGCTCATGCAGCCTTACTCCAAGCCGCACACCATCACGCATGCGAAGATACTGCAGGAGATCAACGCCAACTAGCAGCTTGTAAGTAATTTGTATCCAGAATTCATCGCGAAGCCCTAAAGCAGTCGGCGACCGCTTAGTGGCGGCGCTGAAGGAACTCATGCAGCCTTACTCTAAGCCGCACACCATCACGCACGCGAAGATACTGCAGGAGATCAACGCCAACTCGCAGCTTGTAAGTAGTTTGTATCCAGACTTCACCACGAAGCCCTAAAGCAGTCGGCGACCGACTCGGCGTCAGGTCGCATCGACGTTGGCATCCTAACCACAGGCCTGGGCAACTACAGGCCGCGCTGACTTTGTAGCGGCGCTGAAGGAACTGATGCAACCTTACTCCAAGCCANAATTGAAGGCAACACTATAAAGTAAATAAGCTAGTACTTACCGCGAAGGACCATTTGTTGGGCACCGGGTGTGCCCGTTACTATACCTATATAATATATTTAATTGATTTTGAGATGTTCACTTTTTACTATATTGAAACACGTCTTTGTCTAATGGTGTTTAATGAACAACTGAAGTAAAAAAGTAAAAAAACAAAGCGTCAAAATATAAAAAACATTCCAAAAGAAAAAATACAAAAAACGCATATAAAAAAAGGTCTGTCGCCAACACCTTTTTTGTTATCGACCTCTTTTGCGATTTGTTTATTTGTTTGCGACTTGTTTGCGATTTTAAAGTGCGTTTTGACTAGACCCACAGATTTGTATGCTCTGTCACGTCATATGTCAATGTCACCCCTCCTCCAGCGTCAGACCTATAATTTTCCCGATTTTTTATTTTCTGTTCTAACTGAGCAAGAAGTTAAAAATAAGTGAGTTATTATCAATTATTAATAATCTTTGAATTTCACACAAAAACAACGCGATAAAAATTAAGTATACAAATTGTAGTCAAATACATGGCTCGGAAGCGTCTAAAATAAACATTATTTACACATAACATATTGTCTTTTATGACTAGAGGTGAGCTTCTAAATAAATAGGTACTATTAGCCTAGGCGCAGACCACCGACTTTTAGGCCCAGAACAGATGGTGAAACGCAACTGCAACGAAACTGCAACTTTCTGATGATTCTGATGAATGAAACTGAAAGTTTCAAACTGGTCGCGTCATGTGTGGTCTCTCAACGGACGCTATGGCAGAAACTTAGATGCAACTCAAAAGTAACTAGCAGTTGCAGTTTCGTTGCAGTTGCGTTGCAGTTGCGTTTCACCGTCTGTTCTGGGCCTTAGTTGGCCGATAGTTAGGTCGGACTGCTAATCAGTACGAAGATGTATGAAAGTACGCACATTGCACCGATTTGGCATCGGCCGGTTTTTCATACAATTTAGAATCGGGCCCAACTATCGGCCAACTAAAAGTATGTAGTGTGCGGGGTATCTAAATGAGCCTACTCATAGGGCAGTTGGACAAATGTTTATACAGGGTGGAATTTTGTAATGCCACCTGAAGGGGAAGTACTCTAAATAGGTACCTACTGTAGATAAAAAAAATTACTCAAAGGATACGTTCCATTATTTTTGAAAAGAAAGAGAACTGCATTCAAAAATTTTTGAGGCGCGCTGTTAATTTGACCGGGTTGTAATACAGCTAGCTAGGGTTGCCAGGTGTCCGGCTTTAGAAGTCGAGCTACAGAATAATATCAAGCGCACGCATCAGGATATTGGGCAACCGATGATGATAGAATTCACTCGTAAACTATGACACTAATTGCATGACATGTCCGGCTTTTAGGGTAAAATGTCCGGTCAAATGAGCACAAAGTCCGGCTTTTGTGTTTTAGGACCTGGCAACCCTAAATACAGCTCACAATGTTCAAATGTTTTTTATAAGTAGACGCACCATTCAGAAGGCTTTCTTGCTTCTCTGAGGAAGGATAGACTCCTTGGCGAAACTGAAGAAAGAGAGGAGACTGTATCTCTTCGATTTTCGGGAGAGGTAGTCTGTCACCACGTTGTTGTCACCTGAAATATAAATTAGATAGCTGTATAATAGCAGAGTAAATACAAATGAGTAGGTCATCTTCATAGAAACGCACCGAGCGCGGTTTGTATGTGAGCGCGCCAATACGTATGCGGCGCGCACGCACACACTGACAAAATTTGGCGCAACCACGACTGGCTCACCGCTAATCCCCGCTATTTACTCTGATATAATAGACTATTTCATTGTCAATAGAGGGAAGTTCGGGATGCTTCGCGACATATTCACGTCCAAAATACCACTACTGTTTCTCGACAAAAGACCAGTAGGGCGATGAAAGTACTATGCTTAGTCTCCTTGCTTGATCGAATCAGATATAAGGAGATCCGCAGGAAAACTAAAGACCATAACATGTAGAACTGATGGCCTTTGGGGCAGAAAGGTTCACGAGTGGCGACCACGGGCCGGAAGACGTTGTGTGGGTGACTCCCACCCACTACGTAGAACGACGATGTGGTCAAGGTACCTATGGGAGCACCTGGCCCCGTCATTGTGGAAATACTTGAAGGAGTCCTTTGACCAGAAGTGAACATCATTTGGCTGAAATGAACGATTGGCACAGGCTATATCCTACTAATATTATAAATGCGAAAGTTTGGATGTCTGGATGTTTGTTACCCTTTCACGCAAAAACTACTGAACGTATTTTGTTGAAACTTTACAGTATCATTGTTTGTACCCAGATTAACATATAGGCTATAATTTCTGCCGATCTGTGACACTAAATTTCGCAAAAGCTAGTTATGTATAAACATATATTTACCTAGGAGTAACGGCTGTCGCTCGTCCGTGGTAGGCAGTACGTAGTCGTTGGCCGACAGCGATATAAACAGCGCAAACGGAACGATCCACAGGCACAAAGTGAAGTATGCTAGCACCTGAAATTGTAATGAATAACAATATTAACATCCTATAGGATAAGAAATTAATAATTTTCCAAAAAAATTTCTCGATAACTCTTTTATAATGCGAATGCTGGAATTCGCTGCCTGCTGCTGTATTTAACGAACATTATAATCCGGGCCTTTTCGGCTAAGAACTTAGTCGCGATTTTCACCCGCCCGCGGCGGTTCGGGCCTGCAGCTTCTGTAGAATGCAGATACTTATGTAAAAAGTAATGCACAACTCACGATGCGGTTTTCGCCCGCAGCGGGCGCGGTTGTATGCGGGTCCCGCTCGGCGGTCGACCATTTTGTAGGTACCAGTGACTTAGCGCGCGGCGCGATTTCAAATCGCGACGTGAGTTCTTAGAATAACCGCGCAAATAACCGCTCCCGTTAGTTTTGAAATAAAACCGCAATTCCACAACCGCCGCGGGCGCGGGTGAAAATCGCGCCGTGAGTTCTTAGCCTTCAAGGTGAGAGTTAATTGGCACTTACAGGCAGATTTGTACCATCCTAGACTGCATCTCACTAAACACCGGGGGCAATTGCGGTCAAATACCTACCTTGTTATGCATTAAAAAAATCTATGTAACATACTATTTTAAAAGTGGATATAATTTTCGAGCAAGTTCTCTTATCAATTTCTATTCACATTCATCACCTTCGAACTATCAAACGTGCGAAGATAAAATAGTCGTTAATCGTTTCGCATTCTGAAGCTATCCGATTTTTTCTGAATCACATCATTCTTTCTGAATCACCACTGTATTAACCTATTGAGTTATCACGTTTTTTTAGTACTGAGTTGCATCATAACCTGAGAGTATGAGAAAACTTACAAATGGTCATAGCACACTTTTCAACTCCGAAAGGGATCAACACCGTATCGCCTTTCGCCGCGCTGTCAATTGAGACCCAGTACGGAGTTTCACACAAAGAATACTGAGCGCCTAGAGTTGCTACAGTTACGATCCATTTCCGGGTTGATAAGTGTGCTTCGTTAAAACAAACTTAAGTACAATTTAAGCTAATTTATTCCCTGAAAGTTCCTACAAGAGACTAACGCCCGTTTTCATCATCAATACCTAATTTTTAAGTAATCCCTACGTAAACATAATTCCTGTTATTTGTTACCATAGGGGTCACTTAAAAATTAGGAAATGATGGTGAAAACATTCATAATGCTCGTATTCATCATCAATCCCTAATTTTAAAGTGACCCATACCAGAGGTAACAATAACAGGAATTTTGTTTTCATAGGGATCACTTAAAAATTAGGGATTGATTGTGAGAACGGGCATTAGTTTCATACATACCTCAGAATAGTTATAATACACCGATCCAAAGTACTTCAAGGCTAAGTAGTGGTGTAACACCAAGGAAGACACTGCAGCGACAAAAGCCAGGCTCGTGACTCGTACTACCGGGAACTCTCTGAGCAAGACTGTGTGTAGCAACTGTTGGAAGAGCCCTAGCGCGTTCAGGTACAGCGGTAAGTCTTCGAAGAGTATCAGCCCCAAGTGGATGACAGATGTCAGCTGAAACGTTATATCTTTGTTGACGTAGTGATGGTCAGGTGGATTTGTTTGTCACGCTGAACTGCAGCACATTTAGGCTCAGTTGCACCATCTTATTTTAACCGTAACCATAACAATAACCGGTGTTTTTTGTATGGTGTTTGGGCATTTTTCTGACGTTTCTTAAAGTTGAAGTAAGATGGTGCAACCCAGGCTAAAAATAGGTATAATTTTATAGAAAGTCAGCGTCAAATCGTTTGTGACACCCGGAGTAGACATAAAGTATGCAACACGTCTTTGTTACAATGAGGGTTTTCGCGATTGAAAAATCCGCCAGATGGCAATACGTAGACGCGAGGTCCAAATGCTGCGTGATTGGTGGATTTTGACATATCTGTTAATGTCATCTCAAAAATAACCAATCATGCAGCATTTGGACCTCGCGTCTACATATTGCCATCTGGCAGATTTTTCAATCGCGAAAACCCTTATTGGAAAAAGGTTGTGTTGTCAACTTTTTGGCCACTTTGGGTGTCACAAACTATTTGACGCTGACTGTGTGAGGGCAGACATGGGAAAATAGTAACAATTTAAATAGTAAACATCTTCTAAATGTTTTATCTTATCTTAATTACTTTTAGTGCTTAGATTTAAGAGGTTTGAGATTTTTTTTAAACCAAAAATTAAGTGAGTCATCTCGCAGAATTTTACAAATATGAAAATCATGACTTTATTATCTAGTTTTCTTTATGTTTGCATACTAAAATGTATTCAGCGAAACATGAAATTTATTTTATGTAGTTGCGACCATCATTATGTTACCTGTTTCTGGCAAATTAATAAAATTGATTTGATTTGAAATTGATTCGTCCAAAGAGGTAAAACATGTAAACACTTACAGCCACTGCCCAAGAAATGACGTATTTAGCCATTACTGAGTATTCCTCTACCAGCTCCGCTAAATAGTACATGCCCGCCGCTGTGAAACATAAAAAAATCATCTGGTAATTTTTTGCAACTTATTAATCAAATTATAACATTAAACTGATTTATAGAAGTTATAAATGGAAAAATAAATAACGCATTGACTGTTAAGAAACTATAAAACAGGCTGTCTATAAATATCATCAATAAATATAACTATTTTAAGCAAGGAAGGTCTATAGCAAGGTAAATATTTTATAACACCAAATTTTAAATTTCCTGTATGAAAACTCACCTATTGCAAGCGTCACGAAAATCGCCTGGACCGCAAGAGAAATAATACTCAGTATATACAGGAATAACATATTGGAAAATGATTAAAATCGACTTTGTTTTGGTATAAATGCAAAATTTTTGCAGGTTAGACGCGTTGTCATTGGCTTGTCACTGATATGTCAATGTCAGTTTCAATATAGTCGCGTTCAGATAGGTACTGCAATTTATTTGAAGAAAAAAAAATATAATGAGTGTTCTTCTCCTATAGGTGGCTCTGACATCGTCACATCGAGATGTTATGAGAATGATTTAAGGAGCTGTTTGCGAGCGACAACAACCGCATGCGCAACCCGCCACTCGGCGGCTTCGTAACACACCACAAGCAACGAAACACCGGTATCGTGATTTTAGAAATCTCGTCACAGTAAATTCTTTGTACGAAATCCGCCGCAGTGGACGTGGAGAAACCGCGGCGGGTGCTGCGAGTGAAACCGCGTCGTTAGCCTTATGATATTAAAACTTCATATTATTACATTTATCTTCTTTTATTTATTAAGTAACAATCAACAGGATTTTCACTTTGTGACACAATCACATTCGTTAACTGATGCACGAAGTACAATCAACGCAATCGCTGCTATTGGAGCTAAAAGCATTTGCTCTAAATTAAATATTTTCTTAGATTCATACTCAGATTCTGGAATAGTGTATGTTTCTTGTCTTGCTTCAGAATTCAAAGTAGAAAAGCTTCTTTTAGTTGTATTAATATCACGGCTTATTTTCTTGTAATTTGACAGTGGCTTCTTTTTGGGTATAGGGGTTTTGCTATTGAAAGTTTCTTTTGTAGAAGGTATAGTGTATGGTTTGCAAATGTCGAACTTCGGTTTGGTCCAGTCAGTTTTGAAGAAACTTCTAGCAAGCACCGGAGACTCTTCATTTTGTACTGTAAAGGCAAAAAAAGTTACACCATGTAAGTCCTTACAATTCCTAGTGTACTTACTAGGTACTTACACTACCCAAATCCATTTAAGAGATTGTCTCTTTATAAGGCTGTGTTGCACCACCTAACTTTAACGGTAACTTTACCGAAAATCGGTGTTTTTTGTATGGAGTTTGAGATTTTTGACGTTTGTTAAAGTTAAAGTAAGATGGTGCAACCCAGCCTGGGCCCTAAATTTGAAATTAATTGATTTAGGATAATACTATTTATTATTAATAATATTATGTAATAATACTGAGATGTGTTCGTGTGTTTTCAATTAAAAATAAAGAGATAAATAATGCTTACCTATAGCAGCTAACTGTATCAAGGTTCTGGCGTAAAAAATAAAAATCCAGAAAATATAAAGCTAAAAATTTATTTTCGCTGATTATCATTTCCAAAAGGTAATAATCAAAATTCGCCTACATCAAACACAATTTTCTTTCCTATTTGCTGGATAATAAAATCTACAACGGTGAATTTATTGTGTCTTGGTAGGTTTCCACATGGATAGACGTTTTTACATGGATAATTACACTTTGGAGGTATTACTTTGCAACCTTCCTTAGGGCAAGCAAATTTTTTCTTTTCTTCTTTGACAGGAATTGGCCAAGAGGGTATTGGAGACCATGGATCGTATGTTCTGGCATACTTCATACCTTCTTTTCCTGCTAGGACAGACTCTAAAGCTTCTATATCTCCTCTGAAACTAGCGAATAATACAATGCTACAAAGATCTTGTAGTTTGGTAAATATGCGTTCCATAGCTTCGGTCTTAGAATCTCGTATGCTTGCTTTGATGTTCAAAGCGCAGGCAAACACAGGAAGCAAAGTCTTCTGAGGGATATGAAGTTGAGGTCCCAAATATAAAAGCAGAGTCAAGGTATCTTGGATTTGAACGGATGAGCATTTAGTTTTCTTGAATTTGTCGAAAGGNGACAGATTAAGGCACTAACATTATTAAAATACTATTTCAAAATACATGAAATTGTTGAATATGTGTGTACGAACGTAACACCCGAAACGATGGAATGACCCTTAATGCAATAAAAATTTAAAATCAAAAATTTTCGAACCCTGTGTAAAATATTTATTTCTTATTTCACAACTTACGTGTGAGGGGAAAAACATATGAATTTAACGGTTTATTTATTTGTTTAGGTGACGTAGTTGGTGATCCAACATGAGTTCACCGCCACCGGTGCAGTTGGAAGTGGAGGTGGGGGACGAGTCTATGGAGGAAGACTCTTCGGAGATGATGGCACCAGACAGGTAATAATTCATCAAATTTTTGTCATAATTAGGGCTATATCCCTATGTGTGTGTTTTCTATAGATCATTTCATCCACGAAGACGCGCCCCACCATTCTTCCGCTAATATTTGAGTGTTATCAGTACATGCTAAATCATCCATGAGTGCACACGCTCACGCACACTACAATAATGACGCTCGGTTTGCTCGGATCAAACTGCCCGCACCCCGCGCTTCCCTCGACCAAAAATTGGTGGGGCGCGTCTTCGTGGATGAAACGATCTATAGATAATTTTGTTGAATGTTGACATGTTTTTGTTGAGTTCACATTTTCACGTGTTTTCTGAAAATAGAAAACAGCCAGACCAACGCAAAGATTACATTTACGCAAGCAATTTATTTACTGAGCGGGATCGAACCCAGGATAGTAGTCCAGTACAGGAACCACTACTAGGAGTTTTTTTTATGCATAAAAAGGCAGGTATATGACCACAATCGCACCTGGTGTTAAGTGGGATAATTAATTATCATCCAAGCATTGAACTTTGTTTTGAACATTTAAGTTTATTTTTTGAGAGCCAATGTAAATTTTTCAATTGACTGTTTCTTAATGCCTTTTCCCTGTGATGCGGATATTTCGCGTGCGTGTAGCCCGCGTAATAGAAAAGGCATGTATGAAATAATGAAATGCGGGCAGCCCGCATGCGTGCCGAAATCCGTATCATAGGTAAAGGCACTAAATTATACGAGTGGTAATTATATGGAACTCTGGAAGTAAGAAGTATTGCATACATTAATTTTCACTGGAGTACTTACATACTGCTGCCCATTCTCTGTTTGATGTGTATGTGATCTGTCTGAAAAACATCAATCTTTTAAACTGCGATCTCCAACCCGCCTGCCAAGCGTGGAGATTATGGCAAAACCCTCCACTATAGTGGAGGAGGCTCATAGTCCAGCAGTGGACTGTAAAGGGCTGTTGATGATGATGATGATGACTTACATACTAGTGACGTCACGCAGATCTGTTGACCGTGTTATCTGTAGGAAGCTATACTTAACGTGCATTTGCATATTGAATGTCACCCACACCTTGCCCAGCTGTGTGACCGAACCTTTAATGCCTGTCGTGCTAAAGATGCCCTTAAATGAGTATATTTTTAGCACCATTACGTATATCACGTATGAATCAATCTGCGGCAATTCCAGTAAATTCTACAAACAGGTTTGCTCCATATTGCCGAATATCAAATCAATCGGAAATCTCAGTGAATCTTTCCATCATATTTACGACTAGCGGCCGCCCGCGACTTCCTACGCGTGGATCCCGTTTTACCCCCTTTGGGGTGGAATGGAGTTTTGTAAAATACGTTCTTAGCGGATGTCTACACCCTATAAAGAACCTGCCCGCGAAAATTTCCAGTTTGTAGGTGTTATAAGTTTCTGAGATTTCGTGGTGAGTGATCTCTTACTCCAGCATTTTCTTTTCTTCATCACCACAATCTTAAAGCACTAAACAAACTTTAAGATAACGCTCATATCCACATCCTCATAGGTTCTTCTGATGAATGACGTTGGGTCCAATGGCAGTGTAACTGTTTTTCCCTAGACAAACTTGGCCTTAAGTGTATGTAGGGCACTTTAGGGCATATTGGTGTAGTGGTTTAGTTCCTGAAAGAAGTTGAAAGAGTCCAATGGACATGGCGCACAATTTTTGTTGAAGATGCCAAAAAAAACTACAAAAAATTAGAATGAATACTGTATTTTTACTTGATATCTTTTGATATCGAGATCAACGCCAACTCGCAGCTTGTAAGTAGTTTGTATCCAGACTTCACCGCGAAGCTCTAGAGCAGTCGGCGACCGACCCGGCGTCAGGTCGCATCGACGTGGGCATCCTTACCACAAGTCTGGGGGCAATCAACTCACAGCTTGTGTTGTTTATAAGTATTTACTAACAGCTCCCTACTATGCCTATTGTGCCTGAAAAATGCAAACGTAGTAGTAGACGCCCACCTACTTACTTAAGCCACTCACAACCCTTATTGCAAGAAATCTCGCACTAACTCCCAGCTTGTGAGTAGTTATCTTACTTTAGTTTAGATTTACTAACAGCCCTACCCATCTAAAAGGGGAATGCTTGAGTTGAAAAAATATACGACCAGAATATCGTGTCAGAATAGACGACACTGGCCTAAAGTGGATATCACTATGAACTGGGGTTGCGTGCAATAAACAAAATTTACGAAATTAAGCTACTCAAGCTTAAACCTACAATTGTTTATTTACAGACGGTATCGCGCGATTTGCTGGACGAAGCGCTGCGGGACCTGCAAGACGAAGGGAAGGTGGTGGTGGTCAGCCACACCCACCTGCGGTTATGTTAACGTCTAAACTGTATTTGTAAGAATATTTTGTAATTCCAATAAACGGTTATTCTTTATCTTGCGTTTAAATTATTTGATCATACAACTCATAAAATATAGAAGGAGCAAGGACACCATACATAGCACTTGATTAGGTATATTAAAATGAAAACAAATCATTAAATTCAATAAATTATGTTTATTTACAGTTTAATTCATTCCACGTATCAAAAGCCACAGGCTAAACAACACGACAACAAAACAATTTGTATTGTCTTAATTCAATAAAATAAAAGTCAAAATTGTGCATTTACCAAATCACACTATGTTATAATACTTTGTAGTCCAATTTTTGGGGTGGTTCATTAAGTTTAGATACCTTAAGTATTAACATACTACGTAATATGGCAGAAATTGTATAATAAAGTTATGAATGAGCTTTTAAGGACCATAGACAATATCGATTAATAATTTATAGCCAAATCTTTGGTGAACAAAATGCACAGAACTAGTAAAACTATCATGATCAATATTTAACATATAAAATCATTAATCGATCCATTGAAGGAAGTCCATATGGACGTGCATCGACACAAATAAACTTTATCTAAAACTAACTTCAACAATTAATTAAATTTATGAATCGTTAACAATGTAACCCGTAACATATCTTAACTATTGTGGAAGTAATAGTATGCGAGACAACATTTTAATTTGGTCAAATGTTAATAAACTCTAACTTTAGAAGATTTTGTAAGTAGAATAGGAAGATGATTACAGAATTGAAGCGTTTCAAGTAAGGCGTCTGAGACGGCATTTTCCATTTTTCTGATGCATGCAAGAGTCTTGTGATCTTAGATCTATAATATAATTCACGACGCAATCTTAGTGATCAGAAGCCATAGAATTTCCAAAATGTATATTTCACCTAAACTCATGGATCTCCAATTTAGAATATAAGTTAAAATTGCTTGAATACAGTTGCTGTAAACTTTCTACTTAGAGAAAAGTGTACCATAAAGTGCGACTTTGAGTAAAACGTCAACATTACTTATCGCATTAAATCTAAAATACTTGCACCGATCGAGTAGTCTTGAGACGGTCAAATCTTACTTCACTAATTATTTAGGCAAACGTATTACAAATCGCGTACAAAATCAGCCTAGCAGGTACTCCGAAAGCTTAACGTGAGTCTTCAACGACTATAAAGCGAGTCACGGGAGGCGTTCTGTTCAGTTCCGGTGTAGACAGCCGACCCAATAGTTCCTGAGTGGTTGCTCGTGTAATTTCAAGTTACTGTATAAAATAACCTAAGCTGAATTGGCAGTGACGGTGTAATTGGTCTGTGACGATTATTAATAATAGGATCAAAATTGCCAATTTCACATGCAACCGGGGGTCTTCATTCGATTAACCTAGGAGGTCGACGCAAAAGGCAGATTCGGGTGTAAATTGTAGCAAAGCAACCGAAGATTGTCGTCTGCGTCGACGCTCGTATGGAGAGAACAACCTATCTAATGAGGGCTATCGTTTTAGCGCTCACTAGTTAGCGCCACTGTAGAGTAAGGTCCTGTCACTTGCTAGTAGCGCAGACAGTGGCATCAACTGGTGAGCGCTAAAGTGGTAGGAGGACTATCGCATTTGCACTCATCAAGGTGGCGCCACTGTAGAGTAAGGTCCTGTCAAATGCCAGGGGTGCCAACTGTTAAGTATAAAAACGATAGCCCTCATTGAGTCCATCGCCTCCCATTACAACTTATGTTAGTCCCACTCGTGGTATCAAGAGGCGGGGGTGGTCGCGGAGGCGGAGTCTCCCGCTTCTGTGGCGGGGGCTTCGCCGGCCTGAATGGCAGCTGCGGGCTTATCTTTGCGCTCATCTGCGCGAACACACGCCTCAAGGACGAACTTGTTGAAGAGCTCCGGCTTGTCCAGGTACACGTGGTGGCCTGCTCCGTTGATCACCTGCAATGTAATCATGTTTAGGGGCCATCCATAAAGTACGTCACACGAATTTCATGATCATGAAATTAACAGCAGTTCCGAAATTAGTTTTATTTCCATTTAAATTAAGTACATTTTTGATTCATGAAATCAACATTATATCAAATATTTAAAACAATTGAAATGTGATGTCACGAAACTTAGGACCCCTCCCACCCCTTGTCACACCATGTCACACTTTGTCAACCCCTCCCCCCCTCTTTACGTATGACGTACTTTATGGATGACCCCTTATTTAAAGAATAGGTCGATAAAACTGGTCGTGAACTTTTAAAAGAAGTCTTGGGTGAGCATAGCAGCAAAAAAGCTGGCGGTGGAGAGACATTTAGAGGAGGTCTCAAACCATGTATTTTTGCAAAGGAGAGGGTCTGACGGTATTAGGCAGGGTCTACGGGGTTACTACCAAAAACGGTATGAAGTTTCAAATGTTGCCATCCCTCTCACGTAAGTGAAGATGCCAGAATGAGCGACAGTTACAAAAACTACGTATAAGCGTTACGGAGTAGCCCTACTATTCAGTCTCTTTGTCACGAGGTTCCTATGGTTCACTGACCTGCACGTAGGTGCTAGAGCCGGGTCTGTTCTCGCTGAGCACCTGGCCAGAGCTGTTGTCGACCCAGGAGCGCGAGCCGTACAGCACGGTGATGGGAAGCGCTGGATCCAGCTTGTCTAAACGCTTCACCATCGGGTTCTTCGCCCAGCCGAAACTGTGCATCAGGCTGTGGAACGCGCTTTCTCCGCTAGAAAAAGAAAAAACATGCAATTTAGCATTATGTTATTCTACAAACTTATGCCTCATTTAAAGTCACAATGAGTGAATGAGTTTGGCTGTTTTCACAGCGGCGGCATTGCTGCAAAGTACCCGCTATCGCAATATTATTGAAGTTAACGCATGTTGTACAAGTCTGTCTAATGACGGCCTAGTGAAATTGTTATTGTAGAGGTCGCATACGACCAAACTCCTTGGCCGCTCGCCTGGCTGGCGAGAAACTTCTTTTTTCTTTTATGTGTTTTTTTATCGACTGTCACTTTTTTCGCTTCTTTTGACTTTTCTACTTCGAACTAATGTAACTTGATTTTATTTTACAATATAATTTTATTTTACACCACAAAGCCTTTCAATCAATTAATTTCTCGTAGTGAAAGACGTAAATTTCGTTCACATGTTTACATACGCCGCAGCGGCGCCGCTCGGGGCACTTACTCATGCCCAACCACAGTTCTCACAAAGAAATCAATTTATTTGGTGTGCTATTAAGTGTGTACAAGCTGCGTCGCTATATCTGCGGTCTATTAGTCAGACGAAGCGATCACAGAAAATACACACAATGAGGGCTATCGTTTTAATACTTAACAGTTGGCACCCCTGGCGATTGACAGGACCTTACTCTACAGTGGCGACATCTTGACGACTGCAAATTCGATAGTCCTCCTACCACTTTCGCGCTCACCAGTTGGTGCCACTGTCTTCGCTACTGGCAAGTGACAGGACCTTACTCTACAGTGGCGCTAACTGGTGAGCGCTAAAACGATAGCCCTCATTAGATTAAATAAACAAAAACCAACCAACCTGGGTGTCTGCGAGTTACACTGATAGATGTACTCTGGTATAACGACTTCGGCATCTCGCACATAGTTGACGTATTTCCTGGACAAGTCTGGACGAGTCTTGCTGACCAGCCACTTGCCAGCTGGCCCGGCGGCGCGAACTGCCCACAGCGGGTTAAGAGGTTGCACAGCGGTGGCCACGGCGCGTATCCATAAGGGGACTTGGTATTTCTCGTATACGTTGGATGGTTTTTCAGGGAAACCCCAGGGGTCGGCCAGGATTAAGTGGCGGACTCTGAAAATGTTACGTTGTTAGATGGTGGTAATCTGTTTTATTTACGTTAAATTACAAAATCAACGTAGTCATCAGAGTAGAAGAGAGAGTAGAAAGGGACCAACCCCACTCCTCCCGTGGATATCGTAACTAACGCGACGGGAATATGCGAACATCAGGCCAACCCTGTTGCAGTAGGCGTAGGGATTGTAGGCCAAATCCTTCATTTGCTTGGGTTGTCCTCCTGCAGTGAAGACTACCTGACCTGATGATTATGATGATGGTAGTGACTATAAATCAACACACGATTCAATTACACGGTATAAGGAATATAAACAGCGCGGCAACGTCTCGGAGTATCCTTGTAGGGCTCAGGGGGCTTAGTGTGAGTTAACATCAAACGTCTTCACTAGTGACTGTGGAAAAAAAATGACATTAAATGTATGACGGATTGTACAGCGACCCTAGCGGATACTTTCAAGAACTAAAATAAACTAAATAGACGCGACTTCATGCGCTCATTAGTGACGAGATGTAAACACACACTAAGCCCTCAGAATACTTGATAGTACACCTTTTAGGAAGAGTTCGAAGTAAGCTTACCTCTCCGGGTACTTCATAGCGTAGGCCGTGGCGATGTATCCGCCGAGGCTGTGGCCCAGCAGGATGACCTGCCCGAGGTTGACCTCGCGCCGCCACTCCTCCACCGACTCCACCCATTGCGCTTCCACCTTCGCCGCGTCTGATGCGAACTTGGGCCGCGAGCTACGGCCGAAACCTGGAGACATTAACAGTCTATTACAGCACATTTATGGTACAAAAGCCTAAGTTTTGGGCCAAAAAGAAGTTAGTCAATGTCTGAGATTGGGATTCTATCCATATGATCCGTATGAGAGCGGCACGGAAGGGTGTATTTGTAACGTCAAACGTCAATCTCCTTCAGATTTATATGCTCTGTCACGTCCTATTATGTCATTGTCATGCCCCTTCCGTGCCGCTCCCATACCTCAAGCACTGACAGAGTTAAGAGCTAGATCTACAGATCTACTCATGAACTGTCGTTTAGAATTGTATGTCATTAAAAATCGGGTCACTGTCATAAAGACACAATACTTTTACTGGCAGGTCGTAATCGATCCCTAAGACGAAAAGCAAGTCTTCTACATATACATAGACCAATACTCATCGAGGAATCTATCTCTTCCAGACGTCTGGAGATAATTCACGGGCAACAGATACCGTATCGCCTAACGAAGCGAAGTAGACAGCTGACTTCGTTTTAATACCTAGTCACGTTTATCTGCTGGCGAGTGTTACCCAATAACATTATACGAGGAATAAGCATTTAGTTTTACGACAAAAGTCGTGGGAATATTTCTGACTAGCTGTGTAGGTGACAAAATAGTTTCAATAATATTTCCCGTTTGAAAGAAAAACGTTTACACATTTTTCTTAACTGCTCCGCCCCTATTGGTTATAGGAAAGCCTTTCTCGGTAAATGAGCTATCCAAAAGAAAAATAATTTTTCAAATCGGACTAGTAATTCTTGAGATTAGCGCGTTCAAGCAAACAAACTCTTTAGCTTTATAATATTAATATAGTACCGGAAAACGCAGCTTGGGTCGTCCACCCACAAGGTGGACCGATGACATCATAAAGGTAGCAGGAAGGCGCTGGACCCAGTGCGCTACCAACCGGGCAACATGGAAAGCATTGCGGGAGGCCTATGTTCAGCAATGGACGTCCTATGACTGAGATGATGATGATGATGATAGATTACCCAGCAAATCGATGGCGTAGACAGGCCTGGTAGCGGCGAGTGCGTTCACGTTAGGGCACCAGAGCGCGACTCCCGCGCCCATGCCGTGCAGCATGACCAGTGGTGTCGCGGGCGACTCGTCGTTCAGAGAGATCGTCCATATTTTTAGTTTTTTAATTTAGAGAGATCGTCCATATCTACTTTTAAGGACTAAATTCGAGGGAGTGTCTTTACAATAGGGCTCAATTTATATCATACCCAGCAAATCGATGGCGTAGACAGGCCTGGTAGCGGCGAGTGCGTTCAAGTTAGGGCACCAGAGCGCGACTCCCGCGCCCATGCCGTGCAGCATGACCAGTGGTGTCGCGGGCGACTCGTCGTTCAGAGATATCGTCCATATCTAGTTTTAAGGACTAAAATCGCTAGAGTATGTTTACGATAGGGCTCAATGTATGTATTAATATCATACCCAGCAAATCGATGGCGTAGACCGGCCTGGTAGCGGCGAGTGCGTTCAAGTTAGGGCACCAGAGCGCGACTCCTGCGCCCATGCCGTGCAGCATGACCAGTGGTGTCGCGGGCGACTCGTCGTTCAGAGAGATCGTCCATATCTAGTTTTAAGGACTAAAATCGCCGGAGTATGTTTACGATAGGGCTCAATGTATGTATATTTATATCATACCCAGCAAATCGATGGCGTAGACCGGCCTGGTAGCAGCAAGCGCGTCCAAGTTAGGGCACCAGAGCGCGACTCCCGCGCCCATGCCGTGCAGCATGACCAGTGGTGTCGCGGGCGACTCGTCGTTCAGAGAGATCGTCCATATCTAGTTTTAAGGACTAAAATCGCTGGAGTATGTTTACGATAGGGCTCAATGTATGTATTTATATCATACCCAGCAAATCGATGGCGTAGACGGGCCTGATAGCGGCAAGCGCGTCCAAGTTAGGGCACCAGAGCGCGACTCCTGCGCCCATGCCGTGCAGCATGACCAGAGGTGTCGCGGGCGACTCGTCGTTCAGAGAGATGGTCCATATCTAGTTTTAAGGACTAAATCGCTGGAGTATGTTTACGATAGGGCTCAATGTATGTATATTTATATCATACCCAGCAAATCGATGGCGTAGACCGGCCTGGTAGCAGCAAGCGCGTCCAAGTTAGGGCACCAGAGCGCGACTCCTGCGCCCATGCCGTGCAGCATGACCAGTGGTGTGGCGGGCGACTCGTCGTTCAGAGAGATCGTCCATATCTAGTTTTAAGGACTAAAATCGCTGGAGTATGTTTACGATAGGGCTCAATGTATGTATTTATATCATACCCAGCAAATCGATGGCGTAGACGGGCCTGATAGCGGCAAGCGCGTCCAAGTTAGGGCACCAGAGCGCGACTCCTGCGCCCATGCCGTGCAGCATGACCAGTGGTGTTGCGGGCGACTCGTCGTTCAGGGATATCGTCCATATCTAGTTTTAAGGACTAAAATCGCTGGAGTGTCTTTACAATAGGGCTCAATTTATATCATACCCAGCAAATCGATGGCGTAAACGGGCCTGGTAGCGGCGAGTGCGTCCAAGTTAGGGCACCAGAGCGCGACTCCTGCGCCCATGCCGTGCAGCATGACCAGTGGTGTCGCGGGCGACTCGTCGTTCAGAGAGATCGTCCATATCTAGTTTTAAAGACTAAAGTCGCTGGAGTATGTTTACGATAGGGCTCAATGTATGTATATTTGTATCATACCCAGCAAATCGATGGCGTAGACCGGCCTGGTAGCAGCAAGCGCGTCCAAGTTAGGGCACCAGAGCGCGACTCCCGCGCCCATGCCGTGCAGCATGACCAGTGGTGTGGCGGGCGACTCGTCGTTCAGGGATATCGTCCATATCTTGTCGCTCTGCCCCACTACAGATCCGATGTCCACGTAGAAACGCTTGTACGCTGTTTTCAGACCTGGGTAATGAAAATATCATAGTTGTAGACAGTTTGCAGTAAGTATCTGTGCAACTGGTAATGTTCTGCCAGAAACAAAATAAAAATATTTTCCTTCCAAAAATAAAAAGCGGAAACAGTCAACGAATTAATAAGCATCTTTAAGACCTGGTTCAGACACGCCAGACATGCAGTTGCTGAGCAGTTCTCGAACATTTTACATCAAACCGTAACAGCGCGGTCACAGCTTCAGTGCATCGCCAATGAGAACCAGAAACCGCGCGATTATGGCTGCAAGTGTCTGAAACGGGCCTAAAAGAGACTTTGGATATAAACAAAAAAATTTAAACTATATTTTTGGGCCAGGAAAAATGCTTATAGGTGTAGGTACCGTTTATACAACGTTATATCAATCTATCTTTATTGAACTCTGTTATCTAATTACCATAGATCATATCGTTTATCAGTTATGTATCCTATCTATAGTGCTATTATGTGACTGAGTACCAGATCAACTAATAAAAGCACATGTCTGTAATCTTCTGTGTACCTCTATATGGCACATAATAATAAGTAGTGCAGATTGCGAGCGCAATCGCCGAGGGGACTGATTACTAGCTACTTCCTCCAATAAAAACGTCATAGTCATATTTACAGCTTTGTCCTTGTGTCACTATAGCATTATATTAGATTATTTATGAGAGAAAAATGTAAATTTATTGTACGCTAATCAATTTCATATCAATGATTACGTAAATAGATCTTGATAAAACACATGCACTAGTTTGTTTCCAAGTGCGGTAGGGGCTCGCGCGCACGGGTGACTTTTATACTTGTATCTTTCCTTTTTACACTTTTTTAAAGAGAAAAAGAGAGACAACGTAGTACTTATTGTTATCTTATGGAGAAACATACTGGCACTGTGACAAAAGTCGCCCGTGCGCGCGAGCCCTAACTTCCGGCAAAGACGTGCAGGCAGACTTTGTTAAATTGGGGCTGGTATGTTTGTAAAACATTCGTAAGCCGGGTCTCCAGCGCAGCCCTACACATTCAATAAAAAGAAGTCAACATTCAAAATTTTTTGTAGACAATTTTGTTGAATGTTGAGATGTTATTGTTAATTTTGTTGATTCTGTAAGACAAAATACGCGCTGGAGACCCATAAAGCATACATTTAAACAGGTATTAGTTACCAAATAGAATCGTGTGTGGTTTTTTTGCATAGTAGCTATGACAACAACATCATTAAAGTTATGACGATACAAAACCCAACCAAGGTCATCATGATTCATTATACCTATCGTATCAAATCGACGCGGAACTGAGGATTCTAGTAAAGAAGGTCATTGGGACTTTGTATCTAAGATAAAGCCGGTCTAATCTATTGCTAAAATATAACAAAGAATTAACATAAACAGACTGGACTTTAATAACATCGCGTTTTAAAGGGTCATGTCCATATCATAACAATAATGCGTCATGATGATGACAGAGCATTTCATCATAATTAAATACAGGGTGTCCTAAAATTAGTACGTCACACTGACACTGGAGGTAGCTGGGCCCAAGACGCATCTACCTTCAATGTCAGTATGACGTGCTAATTTGGACATCCTGTATAATTAGACAACATTTTTTTCTTTGGAAAACACTTAAGTTAGCACAATTAAGCTATTGAGATAGTTTTAACCTGTCGAAAATCAAGGAAAAGTCATAGTTTCGAGAATCCAATTTTTTTTACAGTAATATACTTTACTTCATATGATACAAGTAAAAGTAATACATACTTCCTGTTTTAGGGCGAATGAACGCATCGGGTAGATAATACTGATAACGAAAATGATATCAATTATTGTGTGTGATGTTAATTACTGTTGTTCTAATTATTCATGTATCCTGATGTTGATTTTTATTCATCATTACGTAATGTACTCTCCAGGAGGACAGTTGACTTATCCTCTAACCAGAGGCATAAAGGAGTATTAAAAAAAATAAGTGAGGATTTGGCCAACATTGACCAGACGGGTTAGGGAGGCTTGAAATTCTTATATTACTCCCTTAGCCCTCTCTTACTAGAAGAATGGGAGTAAAAGTAAATAAAAGAATGAGAAAAAATTAAGGTAAACTTACATGATAATATTTTCTTTTCAATGTTCCGTAGCATCTCATCTGACTGACGAGTCCAGCTGAACCACCCACCCGTCCAACTAAAAAGGAAAACACATATAAGCCGTCAATAATATTGGTACAATTCCATTACACGAATAGCCTTCACGGTTTAATATTGCTAGCCAATTCAGTGTTATTTTAGTCCACTCGTTACATTAATAGGCATTAGTACCAATTTATAGCACCTACTTTTTGAAAATAAATAAGTAAAGAAAAAGCAATTGAATGGATAAAAAAGCAAATGAAAATGATTTTCGGACTTGACACAAAAAAATTGCAAAATATTATTAGTGTCAGAATATCATATTTTATAATGCCAATAGTTTTAGTTTACAAACAGCTGTCAATAGCAAATATACCCTGCATTTAATACGATAACAAGTTTTATAATAATAAAATGTGCAATTTATTTTTGTATTATAAGAAATACAAGACTTTTAACTATCAATTCTCTTGGCAATCCTGATTGTTTTTGTTATGCAATACTTAATCACACTTTTGATCCAATCATGATTCATCAATTTGTGACATCAAGTTGTGCTAATATGCCAGTCACACAGTGAATAGCAGTTTTCTTAGACCAATTATTCACCCCTTCACTAGTTTTATACCAAAATAGATATGAATCATTCATAAAAAATTAATTGCAAAAAAATTTATTATGTTAAATCATTTGTTCTTACATGTGATAACTATTTGAATACTAAACATTTCGTCATCGTCCATTTTATCACTGTGCATTCAACAAAATAAACAAAATATATTTAATCAGAACATAGTAGGCAAACAAATTAAAGTGCAAATAAGAGGTGTCAACAGGAAATTGGAATAAATCTTACTTCCATATAATGGATAAGATACTTCCAATCCATGTTCGGCTTACTACACTGAAATCCGGAAAATTCACACATTAATGTCACTCAAAAACACTTTTTCAAACACATAAATCACACAGAAACTAGCATTCAAATATAATACACATCCATACATGAAAAAACACATAGTAATAAAACAAAGAGACAAAACACATAGTAATAAAATAATGGCACAAACAAGTTAAGGCCTAAAAACTAACACTGGAAAACGTTATTACTGTTCCTACAGGAACAAAATAAAAAAATCTAAAGGTTTGACAAGTTATGTAATATTCATAAACATGCAAACAACCACTAGGGGGCACAACAATTAACTTGCTTGATGTATCCCATTGAAGCTTGCCCTTATTATCTGAAAGAACACCAAAAATATGCACCACTCTCAGACAAGTTGCTTGCTTAGTATAGAAAAGTAACAATTTAATATTAGGCATTTTACTGTTACTCCAAATGCAGAAATATTGAAGTAATGTCATCAGTATGTAAAGAAATATTACTTAGTACAATTTCACATAGCTAAAATAAGTAAGAAAAGATGATAAAATATTTTTTCTAAATAATGACATGGTGATAGATAATGCTGAAAATGATATTTTATAAATTAACAAAATTAAACAAACTGTGAATTTACCTTAAGATGGTGATAATGAGATGGCAAATGAGAGGTAAGACAAGCTTAGTCCAAATATAAGAACATGGCTCATGAAACCTTGGCATAACAGAGAGTGTGGTTCACCTACAAAATGGGAATAGTATAAAAAACAAACGAACCAAATGAAATGCATAAAACATTTTTAAAGCAATTGCGCATTATATGAGCGTAAATTTGGTAGCATAAAATTGATTTAATCTTACCTGGATCCAGTAGTCTCGATATTCAAATCACTTGCCATTTGGCCACTGGCAGAAAATGCAGAAATACAATGCACATATCACAATCAACCAATAGTAGAAATCTTTTTTCTGTAGCTTAAATTGTTTCGCAGTTTTCTCACAAAATACACAGCGTTATCTAAAACAAAATGTAGAAAAGTGACTGAATCAAAGCGATTTCTGAAAGAAATTTGTTTGCATGACAATGACAGCTAAATTTTGACAGTGACAGTAATAATTTCGTTCAAAAACCCAAATAATAATGGATTGAGTAAATCCGATTTATTACCAATGTTACATTTTTTTTCACATGTGAATGACTGAAAATCTTTCTTTAACTTTAACCATGATCTTCTGGAAACATTTAATATTCCCGAATTCCAAATGTTTCAAGCGTAAAGAATACTGCCAAATTAATATGATTTTTGGTCATGACTTTGTATCCATGGAGATAAATTCCTAACATAACTTTAATAAATAAAAACATTTGAATTAAAAGCAACTTAACTTATCAAGATGCAGTTATCAACAGTCCAGCCTGTTTTTAAATTGGAATTAAATCACAAAGTAACGCCTGGTATTGTTATTATAGCAAAGTTTGACGGTACTCATCCGTGCTTGACTGCATCCGCCGGATATGATAAAGTAACTATTTTAACAAGTTAATAATATCCAGGAATCACATTTTTTAATGCAGCAGAATAGATCAGAATAGAATGCCCAACGTCTCCTCTGAAATACCTACTTAATACTATAAGGAAGGGGGATGGTCAATTGCATTAGAATGAATCATGGACGACACCCAGACGAGCAGGCCTTATATCTGACTGGGTTTAAAGCTTGTAACTAATAAACCTTTTTATTACCAGATTATAATCCACCACCCTCACGGAGGTGTGGTGAGCGGGCGCGCTCAGAGGTCGCAGGCGCACGGTGAGGTCTCAGAGTTGAACCTCAGTCAGGCTGTGATTGCACTGGCTGCAGGGCCTCTGCGTCCTGACACTGGGAGAGACATGTTGCTGATAGGCTCACCTTCACAGATTCTAGGCAAGAACTTTTCCATTCATTACTTAAATCACCAGACTCCTGCAACAAGAGATAGGATTGCATTTTCTTTTTATTGTGAGAAATTCTTAAGATTCTATTTAAATTACAGCATACGATGTCCATGACAACACAGACCTTTTCTTCAGAGACTCTCCAGATGGCGTTAATGTGATTATTGTGGGTAGTTTTGGGAAGTATACCGAACCGTTAGCAATCGTCGGGGGCAATAGTTCTGTGCAGGGGCTCAACTGGCAAGGCACTGAGCTGTTTTGGAATGTTGTCAGTGGAAAGGTGTGCGCTATGATCACTTTCGATTTTGATAAAGATGGCGAAAATGAGGTGAGTACGAACTACGAAGTTACGAATACTTTTAAACCAAATGTGCACGCGGTGCAGTCAACCATGTGCCAACATTAATTTTTCTTTTATAGCTGCTCATAGGTTGTGAAGATTCTTACATCAGAGTGCTGAAGAATAACCAATTTATCATAGAAATAGCTGAAACGGGACCAGTCCTTTGTTTGACACCAGTCACTGAAATTAGATTCGCGTACGGTTTGGCTAATGGTACCATCGGGATATACGAAGAAGGCATTAGACTCTGGAGAGTAAAGGTAACATAACAGTTGATTTACAAAAATTGCATCTTCTTTGTTTTCATAAATAAATATTAATAATAATACTTTTAAAATGTCGTTTATTCGGTTTGTTACTGGTACACCCACCCTAACTGTGCCATGATTGTCTAGTCGAAACAAAACACCGTCGCCCTGCAATGGTCAGGAGACACCCTGGCATGCTGCTGGAGCAACGGCCGCGTTGACTGGCGCGAGGGCACCACGGGCCGCGTCCTCAGAAGAGTGCAGATGCGCGCAGGCGCCGCGGCTATGCTCTTAGCTGATTACAGATCAGTTGGTGCTCCAGATTTGGTATGCGTTTCTGATAGGGGCGAAGGTAACTTTATCATTTGAATTGTAGGATTATTATTCGGTCCGGCTCGAAGGACCAATAGTAACATATAAAATCAGCAACATTGTTTAGTAATAAATAATTACACACATTACCTACTTATATTCTTACTCGTAGTTATGGGTTACCCACCATACCAAGAAAACACGGGCTTCAACGCGACTTCAAAGAAGCTGCCATCCGAAGAGGACCGGTTAGCTATAACCGAGTTATTCAATAAAAAACAAGCTCTATTGGTGGAGCTTCAGCACTACGAAGCAAACGCAGCGACAGGCTCAATGAGCCTAGAAACTCCTGAGCGAGGATCGACTGCAATGCCCACGAACACTCGTTTACAAGTTGCGGTTTCTGCTTCGCCGGAGGAGGCAAGTTTATCACACAGAACGCGCATGAATCGCGTTTTTTTGTTTGTTGTCGTTGTTAATAAAGTAGGAACTTAGCGCCTAAAACTTATTTTCATCTACAGCGCTGTTTAGACCTCGTAATATCGACCAACAATGAGACCATAGTGCGGGCGGCCTTGGTTCTCGCTGAGGGTATATTCGAGACAGGCGAGACCTTGGCGCGGCACCCACCGGCCTCACAGTTGCGCTCGATGCTGCAGATGCCGCTGAAACCGCCTAGAGATGTACCCGTCGATGTACACATAAAGGTAGTCAAATATCACCAGTTTTTTGGTTCGTTTTAAGTTATGGTAAAATTGCTTAAATTTTTTTGACATTGCATGACTAGTGTTGGTCTATATGTATGTTTCAATTCTTTTCTCTTATTCCAGGCTCTAGTTGGCTATCCAGATAGTGAGCAATTTCATATTTTTGAGTTGACCAAGCAACTCCCTAGGTTCTCTATGTACACTGTAGCAGTACCTGGTACAACTGCTTGTAAAGACAGCTATGTCACTTTTCGAATTACTGAGAGAGTACAAAGAATCTGCATTTGGATCAACCAAAATTTCTTATTAGAACAAGATGTAACTTTAGAATCTGAAGATACTAAAGAGCTTCATCTAAACCTTTTCTGCTTGAGAAGTCAGTCACAACTGGATATGGACTTTGCTGCTGATGGACAAGTGAAGATCAGCACACCAGATATAAGACTAGCTGGAGACCTGATACAAAGCCTGGCTGTCTACTTGAATCTATCGGATTTGCAGGTACTCAATGAGGTGTAGAAATAAAAGTAGGTTTGTGTACTTAGGTAATTATAATCTTGCTTCAGCTTACACACTAGACAGATCAAGTCTCACTGACCATAAAGTTCTACAAAGCCAACACATTTGACTGGGTTAAAAAAGAACATGTTGTTATGAGGGGGCTCTCGTTGGCTCACAGCTTTCACGACCTCCTGGCCTATCACACCCCCTACAACGGCAGCTGCTCCGGCCACAATACCAAACACATCAGCCAGGAGAGCATCACTTACAAACCCAACAGGGAGATTTAACTCCTTCACCAATTCATTCCTCATTTTCAAAAGAATCTCGGTATCTGCTTTTCTCTTAGCTGGATCAGGGTTACGGTTGTATTCATCCCGGAAGCGTAGAAGGATCTTGAGGACAAAGTATGAGGGATCTCCGCGACGTAGCCGCGTGCGCAATTCTGGCTTTGACCAGTCTGCTGAAAGCGCGTTTTGCAGGGGTACATAAATCGCTCGACGTTTGACTGTAATACTGACGGTCTCACGCGCACTTTTTTCACTGTCGTCGGGTCCACGTTTAACAGCTTTATGTTGTACTATTTCTTCAGAATACTCGTGATCAACCAGATCGGCGAACATGTAACCGTACATACCCCAAACATCACCGCAGAGAAACTTCTTATTGCTGTCTCGACAAGCGTTGTTTATACGTTCCAACTGCTCCTGCTTCAATCCAGTAGCACAAACTATATCAAATGTGGTGAAATATTCATCAGGCAAATCATCAACGGCTTTAGTTTCGGAGGTGACATCTACCATGGGGTTCAATGCCCGTGCTCGTTGTAACGAAGCTTCTGCCTTGTTGTCACCCACCTTATCCGGAGGTGCCAAAAACTGAGAATACAAATCTATTTCTTTCAGCTTTTCATTGTCCAGTAAACAAACGCTCTTCACGCCAGACAGAATAATGTTTTTTGCTATTTCAGCACCAAGACCCGACAAACCGATGATCAACACTTTAGAGGCACGTAGCCTTTTCTGGGATTCTAGGCCCCATAGTCGAATTTGACGATCGTACTGTTCTGCCTCTGCTTCGGAGAGTTCAACTTCGTTATTTTCAACCATTTTCACGGAAAAATAAATTAGAAATGCAGTTTGACGTTCGATGAACACACGCAGCCCGGCCGGCAAACCATAGAGAATGTAGATTTTTTTTTGACGCGCCACAAGACACAGATTATATTCACCCAGGCCAGGCCCTGCCTACTAGGGCAGTGCAGTTAATATTAGTTACCGGTTTTATGACTTGTTCTATTATCGATATTTTTCTTTTTAATTCTGCCGCCAAACCAATTTCAAAATTATTTTAAAACTTTACTTTCGAAGCTTTATTTTTATACAAAGTATTTTTTTATACAGTCTACAGCACAATTTCCTGAAGCCGAAAAGAAACTGCGTCAGGAGATGGAGATAGCTGCTCAAGTTGGTGAAATGCGATCTCGCTTAGCAGCTGAAACAGCAGAACGGGCGCAGCTAATAACGGCATTACTTCCTGCTGCTCAGGATGCTGCTGCTTTTGACTTGTAAGAGAATTTAACAGATGACTCTTCTCAAGAAAACAGGCGAATTTATTCCATGGTAGAAAGATGCCAGAGTCGAGAATATTTTTATGTTGTATGTAGCTTTTTAATTGAAACAGATACCTATTATAATTTTATTTCAGGAAAGAAATGCTGAATCGATATAAAGAAGTAATAATGCTGAATGAAGAGCTACTTTCTGGGTGTCATGTACGACGATCGACTCAAGATCAGGCAGTTACTTCTCTCAAAAACTTGCATACAATCTTGCAGCAAGCCTCAAGATTACGTGGTGGGTATTTCATTTCATCTAAAATACGTATTATTAGGGTTTGGGGTTCTTCTGTGTAACTGTTCTTAACAAGCTTTATATTGGTTTTAGTTGGAAAATACAGCAAAGCAGTAGTAGCTGCAAGCAGAAAGGCAGTTAGA